TGCACTCTAGCCTGGGTAGCAAGAGTGAAACTCCGTCTAAAAAAAAGAAAAAAAAAAAAAAAAAAGACAAAATGACAACAAATTTAAAGATCTTAATTGGCTTTTACTTGGAATTTAGAATTGGGCAACACCTCACCGTATGCAATAGAATGAGTGTTCCGATTGAGCTGAGCAGTAGAGGTTGGCTTTGAAAGCAGAAATGAGAACAAACATCAGGTTTCAAAGTTATTTTCCTTGTAAGATTAAAGCAGAGGGGACTTCCTTACCATACCGGCTAAAACTGGCCTGTTTGGGATCTGACTATTATTCCTCACTCCCCTGATCTCTCGGAATGTCAGATAAACAACCTGGTGTCAACTGGGTGACAAGGAACTTCAGCATGAGTGACTCACTTTGGCTTGGTCTGTGGGGCCCAAGCCAGAGGTCTCCTATACATTTCATTGAACACCCTCATAGCCCCATGGGGGCCGCACATCCTGAAGAGAGTGAACCCACTCTGAACCCAAAAGAAATGCAGCCTGGCGGCCAGAGTGGTGGTTTATGCCTGGAATCCCAGCACTTTGGTAGCCAGGAGTTCGAGGCCAGTCTGGGCAACGTAGTGAGAACCCCGTTGATACAAAAATTTAAGAATTACCCAGGTGTGGTGGTGTGTGCCTGTAGTCTCAGCTATTTAGGAGGCTTAGGTGGGGGGTTGAGGTTGCAGTGAGCTGTGGTCATGCCACTGGCACTCCATCCAGTCTGGGTGACAAAGTGAGACCCTATCTCAGAAGATTAAAATAGAAAGAAAGAAGGAAAGGAAGAAAAGAAAAGAAAGAAAAAGAAAGAGAAAGAGAGAAAGAAAGAAAGAAAGAAAGAAAGAAAGAAAGAAAGAAAGAAAGAAAGAAAGAGAAAGAAAGAAAGAGTGGGAAGAAAAGAAGAAAAGAAGGGAGGGAGGAAGGGAAGGAGGAAGGGAGGAAGGAAGGGAGGGAAGAAGGGAGGAAGGGAGAGAGGGAAGCAGGGAAGAAATACTGCCTGCCTGGTCCCACTACCAGGGATCTCAGCCACTAATGTCCCCACCCTGCGTCCCTGGTACCCTCCCACCCTCAAACTCTGGTCTCATACCCGGAAGACAGCCTCGAAGCTCTCCAATCTCCCACCCCTTTGCCGCCCCATTCCTCCCACACCCTCTTTGAGGGAAGGGCAGGCGTGGGCACAGTGACTTCAGGACTTGGCCTCTTCCTGGGCATTCCCTGGCCCACCTCCTGCCACCAAGATGGTACCCAGCCCAGAGGGGCAGCTCCTGCCCTGTCCCCTGCAGGTAGCCTGATATTGGGCAGGGTAGGGCAGGGGAGAGGAGGGGAAGGACCCTGCTCACGGGCATCCCACCACCATCTCTCAACCTGGCCTCTTGCCTGGCTGTGGGCACCCAGGTTCCTTGGGGGTCTGCCCTTATCGCGTTTCCAGGGCTTTGCTTAGCGTGCTCCTTGCTCCCTTCAATGCTACTCTTTGTAGTGAGGCCAAGGGGCAGCCTCCTGTCCCCGCCCCAGGACCCTCTCCCCTACAGTTACACAGGAATGTAGGCACCTGCAGTGAGAACCACCAGAAGCGTTTTCTTAGCTACAGGGCCTCACCCTGGGGCCCCACTGAGCAGAATGACCCTTTGAGCAGCTCCCAACCTCTGGCTCAGGAGCTGATGTCTCAGACTCAACCTTGGCCTTCCCCTTCCTTGTCGCGTTTCAGGTCCTGGAAGGTTTGGACAGGGGCCTCCTCTTTGCAGTCAACAACTTAATTTGAAACTCCCATGCGAAGCCATCTGCCTGGTCTGGTGGCCTTTCCTTCCCTCGGGGATAGCAAGAGGCACAGCAGGATTGTCTGCAGGAACAAAGGGTGTGGGTGGTCAGAGAGCCCGAGGAGCCAAGATTCGGGGACGAGGGTGCGGGGTGGGGGTTGGGGGGTGCGGGGCAGAAATTCAGCACAGCAAGGGCAGTGAGATTAGTGAGGCTGGATGCGTGTGCCCTTTCAAAGCTTAAAGGAAAGTATTTAATTGACCAGAGGAGATAAGCCTGGAGGAGGGAGCTGGGAACTGCTGCCGGAATCTCAGAGATGTAAGAGGGTTCCGGACCAGGCTCCCTCGCCTCCCGGTAGGGACCATAAGCACTGCAGATTCTATGATGAAACCAAGAGTGCCTTTTGC